GATATTTACAAAGGGGTAAGACAAGGGTGCATACTTGCACCATTGTTATTTAGTCTATACATTAACACCTTACCAGGATTAATGAAGGGTCCTGAAGTGTATACGCCCAAGGCGTTAAACATGCATTATAACACCTTACTATACACTGACAATATGATTTTACTATAGTATTCGCATAACAGTTGCATAGGGTGTTAAGAAGGCTTGGCTCCTACTGTCATAATAATTCTCTAATCATCAATAAATCAAAGTAAAAAATTATGGTCTTTGGAAAACAATATCATAACCATAGATGGCTATTAGATGGTAAGACAATAGAGCAAGTTAATATCTTCCCTTACCTAGGGGTAGTCTTCTCTGAGACCGGATCTTGGCTTCCTCATCAGCAAAGGATCTCACTTAGAGCAAGGGCACGTATGAACTCACTGCTCAAATTAATAAATCATAGCTATCCAGGCTCCTTAGCCCCAATTATCAAAGTATACAAGGTCAAGGTTACACCTATCCTCTTATATGGTGCTGAAGTTTGGGGCTTAAAATACATATCACTATTACAACAAACACAATCACAGCATCTAGGAAGTATTCTGGGTGTGGATAAAAGGACTTCAGCTGCTGCAGTTAGAGCCGAATTGAGAATTCATACAATCTTTTCTTTGTCTAAAATCAGGGCTTATAATTATTGGGGCTAAATCAATGCTATAGCAACTGACAGACTCCCAAAACTCTGTCTGTTAGAGCAGACAAAATCTCTTAGTATAATGAACAAATTATATCAGGAGCTGTGGCCTCCCTGCCTCATGTCCAATTGTTTCTGGAGAACAAGCTAAAAAGATTGCAGCACAAAGAATCTTGGATATAGAAGCACAGAAAGATATAGCCACTCTTAGTAAGGTTGGCACACTGAAATGGATGAGCCTTTACAAATGTATCTTCCAAATTGCCAAGTATTTAAACAAAGAAGTGCCCAAATATCTTAAGGTGGTATTTACTTGAGCAAGGTTTGAGCAGTTGGACAGAATGGTTAAATATGGAAGATTTAACCCAGTCCCTTATAATGAATGTACTTGTATTTGCGGAGCTCCAGAGGTAGAAGACATAACACGTATATTATTTAAAAGTCAATTGTATAAGAAAGAGAAGGATCAGTATTTTGGACTGCACATTAGATGAATGTCCTATTGGGATCCTTATATTAAAACAACATATTTTCTGTGTGTTCAGAATTCAAAAATTAAATATCACATGGCCCTTTATTTGAACAAAACAGTACAGTTGAGATCTGCATATGTGGATCTGATTAGAGTAAATTGTAGGGGTGATACAGAAATATGATTTGCATCTTTTTTTCTTCTTTAATTTATTTCTTTTCTTCTATTTTTAATATAAGGTCTTATTAATGTTTTGTTTTATATTCTGTATTCTGATATGGCCTAATGGCTAATCAGTAATAAACTGTTGACACATTTTCTTCTGAACACCACCTTACTCCTTTGACACATGACCTTGAACATTCCTAAGTACAGTAATGTTTTCTTTGGGGGAAAAAATATTGGTTTATAGGGCCATGTTTGTGTGTGTGTGTGTGTGTGATATGTAGCAGAAAAACGTGGCCCTTTTTTTGTCACACCTTATATATACGTAGGTATAAAAGTAATTTGATGTACAGCAGAAAAACATGGCCCTTTGCATGTCCTCAAGTAACTTCCTAACCTAAGTGTGGAAGTGCAGTTTCCCTCCTCTCACCCAACATACAGGCTGGGATTGTGGAGAATGCTGAGTTGGGAAAGGATGCTGTAAAAGGTGAGGTAAAAGCAGCTATTTTGCGTGCCTCATTTCTTTCTGAGTTTGCACAGGAGGTGTCCAAAGTTTACACTGCTATTGTAAAATTGCATGATTGGGGAAGTTACTTTGGAAACTGTTTGAATAAAACTCTTGGCTGCTTTGATTTTTAAATTGCTGCAGAGGCTTCTGTTGATTTATAAAATTTACAGAACGAAGATTATTTCTACAGATGCAGAAGAGATCAGGACTTCTGTAAGCCGTGTCTGTTATGTATAAGTGATGTGCCTATTGCTTGCATGATGGCATATATCACATATACTTTTTTTTCCCTTTTCTTTATATCAGTACCTTGGTGAAAAGCAAGTCTTTTGCCTCACGCGGTTGCTGTGCACTGGGGGAAAGATGGAGGAGAGCAGCAAAAAACAACATCACAAGAAACACGGTGGGCCCAAGGCTGGCAAGAAAAAGAAGCGTCATTTGAAAGACTTGGGAATTGAAGATGAAGAGGATGCCCGGAAGAGAAACCCCAAAGCTTTTGCGGTCCAGTCCGCAGTCCGCATGGCCAGAACATTCCACAGGTCTCTTTACAACTAGATTTGTTCTGCTAACAATACTGCTGTTACTGGCTTCAAATAGTGTTCTATGGTGGGGATGGCAAATTGGGTTATAGCAGATAAGGTCTGTTTAGTATATCCACAAGACAAAGCCTATGTTTGGTTATATTTATAATCTGCCATGCTTTACAGCACAATACTCCCATGAGAGAGATTAAATTGTGTAGATGAAGACCTTTTGCGGGGGAGGATGCTTTGTGTCCAAGCTTGAGATGCGTCCCCACCGATCCCTGGAGCAGTGTGCAGGACCCCAAGGATGCGTCATATAATTTTGGGGAATGTGACTGGACCCCAAACTCAGTAGATGGAATGAAGTTCTGTTCTGGCCTGCTAAAGGATGGGACTTAAGGATACACTAATCATTGAGCTAAACAAATCCAGTTAAGGTGTTTCTTTTCTGTATTTGTCTCTGCATTTCTGTATTCTCTGTTCCTGCAGAGTAAGGTTCATCTGAATGGCAGGTTATTTCTGAGACTTTGTAATGTAAGAATGAGAGCCCCAGTTTTTTCCCCAGAGTATTATTTTTGATGTCATGTAGGCCACTCTGGGTTATTTTGGGGGTAAAAAAAGGGGCAAAAATACTTTAAATAAAAATAAGTTGCCTCTTGTAAGTCTATGTTTTTGATCATATGCTGCATTTCAGTTTCTCCCAAAGAAGTCCACAAATTAATGAAATCTAATTATCAGTATTAAAACATTGTAAAATGAATCAGCCATTGTTAAATTCTGACTTCCAGATTAGAGTATGTAGTATATTCTTTGCATGGAGTGGATGGGCGGGGTTTGCATGTGAAAACGTTTGGAAACTTCTCTTGGTTCTAGTAATAAATCAGGGCCTATTGTTACATATGAATGTAGTCATAATTGTATGATTTTGGTTATATTTTAACTCAAACATAATCCTTATTCTTAAAACAGGACCCAAGATTTGAAAACAAAAAAACATCATATTCCAGTGGTTGATCGCACTCCCTTGGAACCACCTCCGGTGGTGGTGGTGGTGGTTGGCCCTCCAAAAGTTGGGAAAAGCACCTTGATAAAATGCCTCATTAAGAATTTCACAAGGCAGAAATTAGTTGAAATCCGAGGCCCTGTAACCATTGTATCAGGTAAAAAATCCATCTCTGTACTTTGCTTTGATAACTGCCCTCAGTTTAGACATTGACAATTTAGCTCTACTCTGAAAGAACATTAGTGCTAAGTAGAGGCCTACAGATTGTTTTCGGGTCAAAATCTGGCCTAAAAACATCCTATTCCAACTTCACTGGAAGGGCTGCCAAGTTAGCATAGGTGTTCTACCTTTACTGGAAGTGGGCTGGCTTTGGAATAGACTATTTCTACCTGCTTCACATTTGGAAACTTTATTCCAAAGCCAGAACTCTTCTGTTAAGATTGGGATGGGAAACTTGGAAGTTAGAATGCTTTGACTTCAAAACTCTTTGCTCATCTCTGGGGTTAACCACAGTTCAAATCACTAAGATATAGTAGGTAACTAGACTACCCTCTGCTTTGTAGCTTATTCAATTAGAGTACTTTATCCGGAGGAGGTAGAGCTGTGGTTATAATTGGTTTACGATCAGAAATCAACTTTCTCAAGTGGGGCAGGCATTTGGTGAGTCAGATTACTTTTCTTGTAAGCCACAGCTAATATAACTGATTTGAACCAGAAACCCATTCGCCAAGGAAAGCATCACTTGACTGATAAAAAAAAAAAGAGTTGTCCTGCATATAATCTGTCTATTTAAGATAGATTGCAATCTTTTTTTTATTTTTAACGAAGTATTATAATTTTCCTTGTTCTGTTTCTTGCCTTTGGTGGACAGGTAAAAAACGTCGGCTAACCATAATTGAATGTGGATGTGATATTAATGTAATGATTGATCTTGCCAAAGTTGCTGATCTGGTAAGTGTGATAATATATAATGAGACACAGGTAGGTTTCCTCGAAATAAAAGCTAGATTGAAGAAGCATAACATCTTTTACGTTAGTATATTAACTTTCAGTTGCCCTGGAACTGGACTCTAATGAAGCTATATGTGATTTTAGGCATACTTACTCTCAGAAGGTGCAGTTACTCTGTTGTAAAATACATTGAGAATAGCCTTGGGTTTGCATTTGAACTTTTTGCTCTGTGAAGAAGACACCCTTCAATTCAATATGGTTATTGGTCCGTAATAGTGGCATCTAACCCCATCCATATGTTGGACATTCTTCTTCTTTTTCCATTCCAGATTCTTCCAGTTGGAACAATTTATTTGCCATAACCTTCTTAGTAGCATGATTCCATTAGTAGTGGGATATATGGTGAAACCTGGAACACAATGATTTGTTTTGTTTTAATAATTAGAAAAGTCCTATCAATTAAGGCCAGATCATTATTTAAGTGACTCTTCCCTTTGGGAAAGGAGATACAATGAAAACCCATTTCACCCCCAGGCCTCCTTCTATGAACAGATCTATTATGCTGATCCTTTTGGGTATAAGCAACGTTATGCAAAGTGCAGAAAAATTGTGTGAGGCAAGCAAAGGGAATTGAAGATAGGGGATAAGAAAGAAGAGAAAAGAAAAGGAAATCTAATTTTATTTTATACCAATGCATTCAACAGATAGGCCCATGAAAGTTGACCTTTACCAGGTATTGTGGCTTTGGCCAACAGGTCTTTATGCAAGTTTTAGTAAGAAGGAAAAAAAAAGCAGAGTACAATAGTTTTTTTCAAGGTTTTTTTCCCCCCAATTTTTCTCTCAGGCTTTGATGCTTATTGATGCCAGTTTTGGATTCGAAATGGAAACGTTTGAATTTCTGAACATTTGTCAGGTACATGGTTTTCCCAAAATCATGGGTGTTCTTACGCACTTGGATAGCTTCAAAAATAACAAACAGCTCAAGAAGACCAAAAAGAGATTAAAGCATCGATTCTGGACGGAAGTGTATCAGGTATGATATTGCGGTAACTTTGCATAAGCAACTGGGAAATGTTTCAAAAACGAAAGAGAACGAAGAGGTGTTGTAACTGCATAATTCCATTTAAAATTGCAGATTACCATAAAAGAGAACAAGGTTTGGAATTCAGCACTGAATGCTATTTTAACTGTTTTGGTCATCTACCTGCTATTCATTTAGTTGTATTTAGTAACAAATTTTCATGCTATGCAACCGAGTTGTAGCAGGTAATTAAACTAACACTGTATTCAAGGAAAAAAACCCATTCTTGATAGAAAAGCAGTTAACTGTAGTATATTGTTTCAGTTACATTAAAATACATGTGTTCTATGAATATATTTAATTTTTAAATTTAGGGTGCCAAATTGTTCTATCTGTCCGGGATGGTGCATGGAGAATATCAAAAACAGGAAATCCACAACCTGGGGCGGTTTATCTCTGTGATGAAATTCCGTCCCCTTACTTGGCAGACAACTCATCCCTATGTTTTGGTTGACAGGTAATTTCTTTTATCTCCCTCAGTCAGATGTGTCTGCAGGGAGGTGGTCAAAAAAGTCAAGATGGCAGAGCAACAACCCTGCAATTGAAATCCCGCCCCTGAGCATTTACACACATAACATGTAAAAAGGAGGGTCGGGCTTTGATCGAATGGTTGTGGCCCCCACCTTCAATTTTTTGACCCCCTGCAGACCTCTATGCACTCAATACTCCATAATGTTTGGTGTTGTTTCGACTTCTTTCTCTTTAAAAATATTTTGAACCAATACCATTTAATTGTTTTAATTTGGATTTCAAATGTGGATCTTGTTAACATAGTAACTAATGTGGTTCACTGTACCTGTCACATTGGGGAAGATTTTGAAGATGTAGTAGGAACTGCCTGTAAAAAGGTTTTATAATATAATATGTAAGCGGAGTTGCTGTGAATGTTAGTGAGAGGAAGCCACAATATGATTGCTGTAAAATTTAATACATATTAACTCCAGAATATCATCAGTTTGCATACTACAGTGGAGAAAGAACCAAAAATAAGTAAAAATGAGGAGCCTAAAACAGTAAATGAAGATTCTCCTAATGACAAACTTTACACAATTTCTGCCAATTTAGATAGCTGATTTTCTGTTAATGTACTTAGTTGTGAAATTGTTTATATCCTGACCAGAGTAGAAATCCTCCCAAGCTGCATGCCGATAAAGTCAGTTTACCTTATAAAAAGTGAGTAGATAATATTTGCAGTTAGCAAGGTCCTGCAGAGACTGCAAGAGGCAGGAGATTCCATCGTGCTCATGTGGTCTGTCCACGTCCATGAGAGATGGTGGCTTGGGAATAGAATCATGTACAGCTGCTTTCAACTCACTTAGGCTGATGGATTTTTTTGTTCTTCAGGTCTGTTGTATTTTTTAAAAACAAAACATATGACATAAAATTCCTGGTCAACCAAGTGTTTTAAAATAGGGATGTACAATTTGGGGTTTGCTTGTTTGTTTGTTTTGGCTGTTGAATGGAATATTGGAGGCTACAAGAAGTAACACATTGGCGAGGAGAAACATGAAATTTGATTCGGTTGATTTGAAAAGGTAAAGGTGCTTTTAGGTTGAGCATCCTTCTTGGTGTCCTGCAGAAGGGGTTGACATTGCCTTTCTCTGGGAGTTTGTAATGATCTCCTGAACTCAGTCTGACCCTTTTTGAGATGAACCAAGGTTGGCTAAGTGTTGCCACTTGACTGATAAAATCTCCCTCAAGTTGAGCTTGAGTCCTTGTAGGTTTCTAGGCACGAATGCGGAACTAATTGGTCACGGCTGTCTTCTGGAAAGATTTTTTAAGGGTTCTGGGATTTTCTTGTGAGGTTCCATCCAAGTATGAACTAGGCTTAACTCTGCTTAGCTACAGAGTTTAGACGAGGACATTTTAAGGGATCTGATGATCCTTGGGACTTTATCTTCTTGAACATAATGTAATGAAGGTACGCAGCATGGTAGATTAATTTTTCAAAAATGATCTTTATCTTCTCTCCTGGGTCTTCAGTGTCCCCTAATTTGATAATTGTTGTTATATAATCTAAATTCAGGATCATGGGTGTACTTGTACTTTTAAACATTGATTACATAATTATGCCACAAAATAAATTGGCCAGAAAGAGCCCCACCCATGTATGAGTTCATAGCACCTAAACTTGCTTTAAAAATTGAACTGGGCTGTACATTTTTATTCCACACAAAGAAATCAAGAGACCAGTGCAAGTGTAAATTAGATGACAATATATATGGGGGGAAATATTTTGAAATAACTGCGTAAGAGCTTATGAAAGAGAACAGCCCATTTTCATCTTTGCTTTAACTGGAAATTTTTGAAAGAGCTCAAAGTTCTGTTGGCCTCATTTGTTACGCCTGATTTTCAGAAAACAATTTGGAAGTGAAATGTTCCAGGAAGTAATGTGCATTTCTAGTTGTATTGTTCAGTTATGTAAAATGGTATGCTGTTTCCCAAAATATGTTTCAAACTTTCTGAAACAGAAACTCAAAATGCACAATGGCAATGTTTGCTAATAGCATGAAGATGAGTTAAAAATGATTCCCATACTAGGGTCTAGCAACTTGAGAGGATTTGGGCAAATGTATATGAGTCTGAGTAAAATGTATATGAGCTTTTCACAACAAGGATAACGATAGATTCTAAAACAAACTATTAAAAGTTTCAGGTGGTTAGGTGGAGGCACGGTACTTGTAGTATCAGATTAGCATACATAAAATGTTTTCCACCACCTCTCTGAACATTCTAACTCTAACATTCTTACATTCTGCAGGATGGAAGATTTGACAAATCCAGAGGTTATTAGGGTTAATCCAAAGTGTGACCGGAAGGTTTCACTTTATGGTTATCTAAGAGGAGCCCATTTGAAAAACAAAAGCCAAATACACATGCCAGGTGAGTAGAATTGAAGATTTTTGCATGCTGCTATATTTTGTTGTCAAAGAATGATTTAAGAGTCTTCTAAGAGTATCTTCTTCCCTGCCTGGGGAGAATATGGAAAGTCCTTAAAAGGTGGCTGGTATGGGTCTTCCGGGCTGTGTGGCCGTGTTCTGGAAGTTTTGTTTCCTAATGTT